AATGTCATCATCATCATCATCATCACCAATGTCATCATCATAACCAATGTCATCATCATCATCATCATCACCAATGTCATCATTATCATCATCTTTATCACCATCATCATTATCACCAATATCTTCGTTATCAACATCATTATTGCCATCATCACTAATATCATCATTATCATCATAATCATCTTTATCACCATCATCACCAATATCGTTAATCGAAGTATTATGATCATCGGGGTGGATGTAGTCCTGAGAAGGACTGTTTGATGTGACTGACATTTCAACAACCTGAGCGGAAGTCATCTTCAGAGTCCAGTGAAGAATAAATATAAACGGCACTATACAGTATATCTTACCTGAAGCAAGAGAAGATGCTGTAGCTTGAGATTTATGCATTTCATTTTCCTTGAATGACAAATCTTCCTGCACAGACACAGACACATACATGTAATGTAAAATCAGCATGAATCCTTAACTCAACACACAAAGCATTCTACTAATTACCTGCATTTGCTTCAGTTCTCCAGCGGTTGGTAAGTGTTTGGTACGAACCATTCCCTGTGCATATCCAATACCACATCAGAACTTTTATCACACATTTAATTGATTCAATGTTGTCATAAAAATAATATTCATCACCTACCCTACTCGTCTTCTCCAGTAATGCTACTATTCCACCCTCCAGTTCTTTCTTACGGCTCTGGATTCAAAGTTAGAATCATTAGCAATTATTACAAAATAACTGCAGTCATAAATCTTGCATTCTAATTGGTCAGTAGCACATGCTTTATAACTACACGCAGCACACACACATATTTTCTATTTCATCAATGTTTGCAAACTTGGGTGAAAAGAATAAAATCAGGATGAAACTGTAATAAATTATTTACCATTTCGTTGGCCTTATTCTCTTCAAATGTATCCAGGAATTCTGAAAAGCAAGTCAAAGTGTTGGTATTTTTTAGCCTACTTGTTATCAGTACTCAGTTAATAGAACTGCTTTGATGTCCCACTTGACAATATAATGGTACCTTGCATGGTTTCCTCTCGTTTCTTCAGTTCTTTGTATTTCAGGTTCCGTTCTCCTGTACATAATAAATGAGAACAATCAACATCGATCACTTATCAATACAGTCAACATTATAACATATTAATAGTGGTATTGATAGTTTGCTGTTATTATCTGCCTATTATTATACTTTTGGTGTTATTCTGCTGGACAGTTTATTGTGGGTTGTTATGGAGGTTAATTGGGGGTTTATCGACAGTGTCTGCAAGCTTCTGACAGCAAAAGTGATTGACTGAGTTGTTACTAGGTAATAATTATTAATTATAAATCTAAGTACAACATACCTTGATGCTCCTCAAGATCCATATCCAACTGTTGTATCTCTGTGTTCAATGACTCTATCTTCTCCCTCAACTCCCCAATCCTATGAACATTGTATCAGATGAGTATACTGATGCTACTCAGATAAATAATAATCACCAATAATATCTGGTGGTATTGTTTTTACCTTCTGTCCATGCTTGCTATCTCTTGGTTATCTTCCTTCACCTGTAACACGACAACAAATACTTACATTTATAAATATTCACACTATTTTTCTTTCTCTATATTTCAAACAATTAGTGACAACAATATTGATATTCAAGGACATTACATCCTGGCTTCAACTTCGGAATCCACATTTCTGGAGTATATATTTACAGTCAACTCTCTTTACAGCGGACACCCTTGGGACCGTCACTTGGTGTCCGTAATAGCGAGCGTCCGCAATAGTGAAAATTATTTACAGTCATTTCTTTGTCAGTATCTTTGTCGGGGATTTTTCTCCTGTCCGTAATAGCAAGGTGTCCGTAATATCGGGGTGTCCGCAAGGTGAGAGTTGACTGTAATATTATTTTACAACCATCAGACTCTATGGAACTGTTTTGTCAAACTTTGCAGTAAGACTTGTGTTGTACTGTGACATAGTGCTCACCAGTTAGTGTTCTGTTCAGACCATTAATATATCATTTTAAGTATATACAGTATATCAGATTTTGCAACTACCACTGACAGTAAAAGAGATGCTTAAAATCTAAAACTTCATTATTCCCCCCTGAATGCTATTTATTGAAGGATGAGAGGGATGATGAAGAACTCCTGTAAGACACATAGCTTTTCTAACCTGCTTGAGAAGTCGTTCCTTTTCTTCAGCTGGTGAGCCTTTGTTTTCTTTCTCCATCTCTTCCAGCAAGCTGCGCTTCTTCTCTTCCATCTCATTCAGCTTCTCATATAGACTCACTTAATGTAATTTAATTTTATAACATGCATCAAAACATTGGAACTGATTCTGAAAATGCCCATGACATAGTCTGTAAATGGGTGGCATAGCTGGTCTATTCTCATACAGCGTCATCATCCTCACACTTTGAGTGGATGGTTTGAGCTCAGTGTGCCCAACGCATGAGCAGAATTTGTTTGATGTGTTACTTTTTCCAGTGCCACGAGGGTTTTTCTCCAGGTTCTCTCCCTCCATAAAAAGTGAGTTGAGAGTTATGTGCATAGAATATTGACTTAAGTAATGGTGGTGTGTGTGAGTTAGCAGTAAATGTTCTTAGTTAAACAGCATATGTTTACCTGCTTCTTGCTTTACAGGAGATGAAGAAACTTCCTGGAGGACAAAAAAGTGTCAAATACTTAACAATTACAGTCAACTCTCACCTTGCGGACACCCTGATATTACAGACACCTTGCTATTGCAGACAGGAGAAAAATCCCCGGCAAAAATAATGACAAAGAAATGACCGTAATCAATTCTTGCATTGCGGAGGCTTGAGGGTGTCCGCTGTAATGAGAGTTGGCTGTACTGTAAAACAGTTTTTTCTATGCTCTGTTCAGTTATAAAGCATGCAGAAAGTGATGTAAGCACAAAAGAAGACGGTATGAAGAGAAGCACAAGTAGTAGGGGACTGGTTCTTACACTCCTTGGGTGCTTTCAATGCTTACTATAAAGTGCTTTATCACTGAACAGAACATGGAAACAAGCTGTTTAAATTGTTTTTAATTATTGTATGGGAAATAAATATCCATCGTAGTTTTGGATGCTTTTCTTACAATTCTTTGCAAAACCTGCAGCATGTGCAGATGAAGTTAACAACCACAGCAATCAGCCAAGCTGGAGTTCAGTATAATTATATCAAGCTTTGCATTTATTTATTAAAAAAAAAACATTAAAGATTTAATACAGAGTCAATATTTATTGTTTTTTACCTCTTCCAGACTGGTTATTTTTAAGTTTAGAGAGTCAAGATCTTGCTGTTTGTGTTCTAATTCCTAATTGAAATAAAAAATGAAAGTTTAGTTGCTCGGTCAAGCAGATGACCATTTTGGTTTGCAAAAAAGATTGATTGTCACCAAGAACATATATGAAGCTCGTCGGAATGCATCTCAATTTGACGTCACATGCAAAGCAGGCCTATACTGTTTACTTACAGATTGTAGAGACTTGTTGATGTTTTTCAGCTGAGCATACTTTGCTTTCTGGTCTGGAGGCTATAAGAGAGACAAGACAAAAACAATGGTGAATGAAGTCCATCAGTACCAAACAATTATCTCAGCTTATTTCTTCCTTCCCTCCCTCCTTCCTTTCTTATTTCCTTCCTTTCCTTTGTACCTTTTAAACTCACTCCATCCTCAATACCCTTCCCTCCCTCCCTTGCTCCCGTCCCTCCTTCTCTCCCTCCCTCCCTCCCTTTCCACCCCCAATGCTTCCCTTCCTTCTTTACTTCCCTCCCTCCCTCCCTCCCTTCCCTCCTTCCCACCCCCAATCCTTCCCTTCCATCTTTACTTTCTTCCCTCGCTTGACCAATCCATCATCTAAACACCAGTCATCTACATACCATATCTTCTACTAGACTTTCAGCCATACGATGCTCTTGGTCCAGCTCTATTTCAAGTTGTTTGATCTGGTTCTCTTTACTACACATGAAAAAAGTTCATCTGAATCAAATACTCTTTACCCATTTCTTCTAAATTGTTTGTACAATGGAGACAATAAATTTAAAAAAACCATGAAATATTCTTCCAATTATTTCAGCATCCATAATAGTTTACTTAAATACTCACTCTTGTCTCTGTGTGAATATCTCATCTATTGATCTTTGTTCTCTTTCATTCTGCATTTTTAACTGTTGATTAACAACAAGGCAATCAGTAATAGATAACACTAATTAAGTTTATTTTTGTCAAACATATTGGCAGATCAGGTATCATTGTAATACAGATAGGATAGCATGGGCAGCATATGCTGCTAATGCATCATCTTTCGTCGCTGTGAGTCCAAAGGTTCAGGTCACTGGTTTGAACCCTGTAGATACCATACATGTATGTGAATTGAGTTTGTTTGATGTGTTGTTCTCTCCTAAGCTACGAGGGTTTTCTCCGGGTTCTCTGGTTTCCTCCCTCTGTAAAAAACAACATGTGAGTTGAGCGTTGTGTGCAAAGAACATTGAATGTAGTGGTAGTGTGTGTGAGCAAAGAGTCCCCAATTAGTGCGAAAGCGCTAGAACGACTAGACACTTGAATAAAAAGTTTTTTAAAACTTTATTTATTCATAGGAAAAGGTCATGAACTAGCCAGAAAGTCATTTACCAGAGCATTTTCTGATCCCTGGCCCTATGAACACATGTAATATGTGAAAATGAACTTACTGCATTATAATCTTGTATGATGTCATCCATATCTGTATCAGTATTCAGCTTGTCAACAAGCTACATGCAGAAAGAAATCAAGAAAATAATAATATTATAAGGACATACACTAGAGTAGCTGTAGCATTCAAAAAGGGTGATGTTATGCAATGAATTTAGGAGATTACAGGTAAAAACACAACACATGAGAATACCAACAACCCATGATTATATCCTTGAAATCATGACAAAATGACGTGCCAAGGGAGTACAGTAATCCTAAGTGAAAACTCCTGAAGACTACATGTACAGTAGCAGATTCAGCCAACAATCAATTCAACTACCAATTTCTTTTTTTATACAACACAAACCATGCTACATACAACAGAAATGAGTTGTGACAGGTGTGAAGAATTACATGACATGTATTATCAATAGACATGGTGTTTTCACAGAATCCAACCTTGCGTCAGACTTACAGTGTTGTAGTCAGCCAGTTGTCCTTGAAGTCCTTTGATCTCTGAAGCAAGAGCTTCAGCCCTGTAATTATAATAATGAGAAAAGATTTCAAATCAAGAGAGAAGGGAGTTAAGATGCCTATTGTATTTTTGCAGTACAGTATCCTAACATTGTGCATCATAATAATTTTATTGGATGCATACAGTAAGAGGGCTGTATTATCTATGATCTCTGACTACAGCTGTCTGATATTTTGGGATAACAGAATGCTAAACAATATAAACATTGCAAAACAAGTAGAAAATTTGGAAAATTATTTACACTTCCGGTTGACGTCGCCGTCGTAGATTTTGCAAATCTTATAGTCCCTAGTATTTGGGGGGAGAGGGAGGGGGAACTATGCAACAATGGAAAAGGGGTCCAGATTTCTCATTTGGGTGACCAAAAGTCTCTTAACTACCATAATATGTCAGAGATATTATATTCAGAACATATACATACTTTTTCTCATATGAAAGGTATGTGGAGTTATCTTGATTATACTGCTCTATTTCCTTTCTTAGCTTTGCAATTTCAATGTTAAGGTCTGTCATCTTTGCCCTAAACAATAAGGCCAAAACAAGTTAGCAAGACTAACATCTGGTATAGGTTACCTAGGTGTAGGTTACCTTAATTGTCCCATGTAGTAAGACTTGTCCTGTACCTGACGCTGTGGACCTGTTGAGGTTCCAAAGTCATAAATCTATGAACCAATACAGGGGTGGATCCAGGGAAGTGGAAAGAAATAAAATAGATGTAATAATGTGCTGGTTACTAAAAAAAATTTATCTGGATAAAGTTTCACTTGGTTTAATTGAAGCTCTCAAACCCAGGGGGGGACTCTCTTGAAAAGTGGGTAGGGGGGCTCGACGGATGGTTTTAATAATGACCCTAAAAGGTAAGCATAAATTAACTGAGATGCTGATTTCAGACCCTAAAAGGTACGACCACATTTAAAATGACAACCTTTCCAACCATTATATTCTTGTATGACGTTTGATATTTATACCACGTACCAGTAACCACCACACCCTCCCCACCCCCCAATTTACTGAACCTCTTTAAAGGTGTTAATACCGAATCACTAACCTCTAGCTGCTGTCTTTGGTCCTAACAGACCTTGTCTAGTCATTGGTCTGTCTGCCACTTTGATCTGAGCATTAAGAGCTTCAAACAACACCAAAGTTAGATCAATGCATCATCAATATTAACTTATTGATGAGCATGAGGTGTGGAGAGTAGGTGCCATCCTTTATGCAATTAAGCGAGCAAAGGCTAACAAGGAGGTTACTATAGCAACGAAGCCATGGGTCTACCTTTGGTACGGGTCACATTGAATGCATTCAGTAAAGATTTGATGCTTACAGTGTATCTGAATTCCATTAATAGAAGCAAGGATGGGAACAAAAGCCCAATGAAGGCAAATAAAGCAGCTGGTAAAACTTGAATGCAAGAAACAAGGCAAGCAAGTAAAGCTAAGCACTTGGGACAAAGCAAAAATGCTAGTACAATCACTGACTTCCTCATTAACTCTAATTAAATAATAATCACATTTAATTAAGGATTAATGAAGGCAAGAAAACAATATTACTTGTAATTTATAATAGATTCTCAATGAAAAGCATTATAAAAGTAAGAAAAATAATATTGGTACAAAATAAATATTTATCATATGACCCGTATCTGCCTGGGCGCATGCTCTTAAAAAAACCTTCGGGAAAATGGCGTGAGCAGGGCCATACGGCTTTGAGCAAGCAGGGCCGTACGAATCCGTACAGCCCTGCTCAAAACCTGTGACTGTATTTTCTTTCTTTCTTATTTTCTGAGTTAGGTCAGGCCGTACAGGAAAATATTTGGCTCTCGGTCATTTCTACTGACCTCGCTGCACTTGGTCCAACTACGGCATCACCTCGAGCCAAATATTCCTGTACGGCCCTCCCACTCAGTCAATAAGTACATAGTATTTTGTATTCATGACACAATGTCATTTTTAAACGCAGTACCATACCTCCAGCCAGCGCTTCACCACCTCTAGAGCCTGGACGAGCTGTTCCTGGAAATTGAAAAAATTAGACAATCACAATTATTGAATAAGAATGTCGGCAATTAATCATCTGTTCAATATCTCCAATATGAACCCTAAGTACAACATATTCCGCTTTAATCACAAAATATATCTTAAAATCACAAGAATAATAGACTTGATGAAATAAATGTCAACTATAGATTACTCACCTGTTGGTACTCTTCCCATGGCTGGTTATTATAAAAGTATTAGTTATGGAATATTGGATACAATCAATCTTTGATAAAGATATACAATGTATCTATCAGATACTAGACTGTTCATTGTTATTCATGATCACTATCAATGTGCCTCAAAATTATACGTTTATAATTAAACATTGTATTAATGCTAATAAACATTAATTTAAACTGTGAAATATTAGCCATGCCTTTGATCACCCTAAAGTTATGATATCATGGCAATCAACTTATTACGATATATAATTATGTGCAAGCAAAAAACATTACAGTTCAGTGACGTGGCAAGGTCTCGTTCATGGGGGAGTTCCTGCCAAAAAACATACATATTCGTTTCATTTTTAGAGTTTCCCACCATGCTACAGCTTTAGTAAAACGTTTTGAGAAAGTGGTCAACCCCTGCCACCCCACCCTCTCTCGCTACGCCACTGTTACAGCTACAAGGACAGAGCAGAAAACCGACAAGGCTGCTACTTTCGCAATTTTTTCTTTATCTCTCATTCATGCTAAAAAACGTTTGGTGTTTCATTCGTGTCTCCAAAACTTTCCACGACATTCTGCTAACCTCGAGCAATTCTTCTTCGAGGTATTAGCGAAAATGTTAGTTTTTGTGCTGATCAAAATATCATCTCTCCCAACCTTCAGGGCGTTATATCACAAATACGCAATCCTTAAATTTCCCMAAAYTTTTGTATTTTGTTAATCAGCCCAAAAAGAGCCTGTTTATGAAATATAAAGCTTATTAACGCATAAACGTCGAAAGTAGAACCTGTTGTAGCCCTGTCAGCTACAAGACAAATATGTTGTATGGTTTCCCCCACATAAGAAAACATGTTGGTGTTTATAGTGCATACAGTAGTGGGTAGGCTAAGGATACAGCTTGGAGGTGCTCGTCCTTTCATTCCTGTACCTGGCCTCATACTTATCTACAGTATCTCAAATAGCTTTCCTTGATTCTTTGTTTCTAGGAGAAAAATGAGCGACAAAAATGCATAAATGTCAATCATAAACGTAAGTCTTTTACGAAGTTGTGAGCAATATTGACAACAAAGTCCCATCAAACAATGCTTTGAGGCGCTTTGATCGAAATATCAAATTCCTTGGTGCATAAAGCAAGTATTTAAATCTTTATTAATAAGTTAATAGACCGTGCAAGGTAGATATAGAGAGTGTTTAAAGGGTTTTTATGTCATTCCTGCTCGACGGTCGCCATGTTGGATGTTTATCGTCGTTCCCAAGGAGATTCGATAACACTCAAAAAATACCCTTAATAATAAGAAAATACAACTGATATCAAAACCTAAAGATAAACTAATGCTTTTTACTTACTTTTCTTGCTTGATATGAAGGAATAAAGCAGTTTTTAGGGGGGAATTCTTCGTTATTTTTTCCTTATTTTTCTTTGTAGTTTTGTCAGAGAGCGCGTGAAGCATCATGGGATATTACTCTGGCTGCTAGAACTACGGGCTCAAATACCCTACCGAAAATAGAATAATATTAAAGAGAATAATATAGAATAATATATAGAATAATATATAGAATAATATAGAATAATATAGAATGATATAGAATAATATGAATAATATAGAATAATATAGAATGATATAGAATAATATGGAATGATATAGAATAATATAGAATAAATGAGAGAGACAATCATGATAGCAAAAGCCATGGTCACGAACAACGTTAAAATCAATGGTGATCTTTGATATTTTTGAGAGGCGTAGCCAGAATTTTCCGAAGATTGAGGCCCAAATTCAAGCCACCGAAAAGTGTAACAAAAAAAAAGCATTTACGAAATCTAGAAAATATGCCATTTCGTTGTCACGAAGTGCTGCCTGGCCCCCTTGGCGACCCCTCTGCCTACGCCTCTGAAATCTAAATCTAAAATTAAAGCCATTAGTGTGATTTACTACTCCAGGATGGATGACGGAAAGCCTAACATGTTCTACAACCCACTTGATTAGGCAGGCGATATATCGAGACAGATTTTTTTAAAGGCTTTTTTGGGACTGGGAAATACGGAGAACCAGTAGAAAAAGGCTTTTGAAACACAGGAGAACCAACAAACAGCTCTACTCACGTACGATACCGAACCAGGAAATTAAAACCTTCCTCACATTAGTGAGAAGCAGCGCGTTAGCAACGCAGACCACCTGCGCCCTAAAACCCAATGTCAAAATTTATTTGACTTGGACAATGTAAAGCCTGGTTCTAACTAGATGCAAGGATGCAAGAAAAATAACAAAAACTTTCGTTCTTTTGCTTCGGCGTTGCCTTTTTTAGTAAAAACGCATATTTGCGTCCGTCTTGCGTCGGCTAGCATCTCTAGTTAGAACAAGGCTAACTCGATAATATCATAGAATGATGCACACTGCACTCACATGTACAAATTGTACTTTAATTAATTACCACTCGCTTGCAATGCACCCTGGACGTCAATTGATTTTCTCTATGTTTGATGGATGCATATGTGTGTGCAGCTGCAGGCTTATTGAGTAGTACACCAAGAACACCAAGGAACTGCATGTTACTGCACCTATCATCACAGTAAGACACTAAGGTAAAGATCATAAGCTTCTTGATTAGTGTACTATATATTGTAGTTAAAGGATCTCGTATCAGTTGATTTAACAAATCTTTGGTCGAAGGAAAAAGAGTATATTGGTAACATATATTTAGATGCCCCAGTCGATTGACAGTGATTCCAAGTGATAATAGGAACAACGTTTATCATCTTCGTTTCGTTTTACTTTAATTCTTTTAACTTAGAGTCAAGAAAAAATGTCTAGTATATCTGAACTGAATGTAAGATGATTATAATGACCGTCACATAGCTCACACGAGTGGTGTGGTTACGATCTTCTTAACCAAGGTGGCAGTACAGTTTTTGAACACTATTTACTTGCACAAATATTTTGTTTAATTAATGTTGCTTGTAATTTCTTTAACCTTCACTCAAAAGAGGAATCGAAATTACGATCTCTAGGTTTTCTTTTTTGTTAATAGTCTCTTTTATTTATCCTTTTTGTATTTTTTTGTTTTTCCACATTGGCTAAATTCCCAGTGGAATCCAGTGAAAGAAAAGCCACTCTGCAGAAATCCCGCTTTCTTTCTTTTACTCGACTATCGTTTGTTCTTTCACTATTTAATTGATGTTCAATGTCTCGTGACACTTTCCTCATTTCTTTTTTCTTCCTTCATTGGTTTAAGTCAACTTTTCTTTTCTTTTAATTAATAAACGTAGTTCTTTCGCGATATTACACAACACCCAGCAACTCGTCACCTTGTGGGCTGTCATAGGTCCTGCCACTGACAAATCGTTTCCATTTATTAAGTGAAAGTAAACTAAATAACATATCATTCCATTTTACACCGAAGAAAAATCATTTATACATCAAATGAAAAACTAATCGAATAAATAGGGCCTATATCAGTTTTTGCAAAATGACAATTCAGTCTATCTATATATAAAATTAGCCTCTGTCAAACAAACTAAAAATAAGATATTTGAATCGAAGGGGACTCCAGAATAACCATTAAATCCTAAAGAGACTATAGGTTTAAGTGTTTTTTCCCCCAGGTTGGTTTACTTCCATGATAACCGGCAGTGATCTTTACACTTGAACAATCTGACGAAATAATAAACGCTATATAACAGTTTTTATATGAAGAAAAAGGTTTTGGGAAAATAAAAGAAGTACCCTTAGAAATATAACGAAGTACCTTTATATAAAACCCTTGAGAATTGATGACATAGATGAAGTTCGTTGCTATAGAAACCCTGCAAAATCAACTGACATCCAATGTTAATAAAAATAACTTCAAGTGGTAGATGGACTAGTTGCGCAAGTGAAAAATGCTCCCTCGGAAATGACTATAACAATGATAAGACAATACTTGATAGTCATGCAGAAGTTGCCTGCCTGCTTTCTAGTCGCTAAAGTCGCTGTTATATCCTATATGAACAAGCTGGTCACAGATCTCAGTCATATATTTAATTCAGCTCTCAGCATAATTCTGTAAAAAAATTAAGCAAGAAGATTGACTGTTACCTTAGAAAGGCATTACATATCGTTCTTTTTAGGTCTCCCCTTATCCTTTCTTATTATTCTTCAACTCCGCTTGACCTCCCTTGGATTCGCACAAGTGTAAGAAATATTGAATATAGTAGAAATATTGGTTCTTGTCAGTTTTCTTCAAGTACAGTTTAAAATGAGAATCATCCGATGTTGGCAGTATTTCCAATTTTAACTTTCTAATCGAAAATTAATTTCTAAGTTCTCAAAATAGCGAAAGTTTATTGAGTGCTGGTGGACAGCAATTTATAATAAGTTAATTTAAGGTTTACGAATTGCAATTGTATGGAACCTGGTTTGAAATTGCAATATGACTGATGAGTTATCGATAAAATATCATGAAGATTAATGATTTTCTTTTGTATTTGATCTTTTTTTGACTATTTACCTCGACACCCCAAAAACTGATTGTACATCAGTGACCAAGGAATGGCAAACCTTTTACAACACCGTTTTAAGAAAAGGTTTTGAAGCTTAATATATTACTTTTTGTCACCCGAAATCATACCGAAAATTGAAGTAAGTTCTAGGCAGTACTTATGAACATCTGTCTGCCTTTTGACCGGATTCAAGCAATGTCTTCCTTGCTCAAAAATCTTACCAATTCGCTGGCGCGCGAACCTTCAACAAGAAAACACCCATAACTAGGCACTGACACCCTCTTTTTTAAGGTGAGTTTAGAGTATCTATTCCATGAAAGATGGTACACTTACTGTATTTATTTTTGACGGAGAACTGAACATAAAATCTAATACACTTTGAATCGAGCAAGGGTTATTTTTCCTCCCCGAGTTCCTGCACTAAATCAATCCAGAACTCCGAAATTGTTTTTGCGAATATGGGACTAATGTGAATAAAATATAAAACTCTAAAGAGCGATTGTTTCTAAACTACTGAATGAAAGAAAATTAATTAGGTAAGCTCGATGGTTTCATTTTGTTAAGCACAATTAATGTTGAAGAAAATAAAACGATTTTACTTTATTCGATGTTTGGCTTGCAAGTTAATGTATAATATTTAGTTTGTTCAGCGGCCCATTTTCATTGCATTGCAGTTTCATTTTTCACACATACTGACAAACATGTAATAACTGTAAAACGATTTTATGGGAATATATTCTCCATTGTAAGTTCGTTCAGAGTATATGACGAATAAACACTGATCTCGACTGATTCAAAATGAATTTTTTTTTCATAGTAGGAATTACACTCTGTCGTACTTCAAACACAGTAAAGCTGAACAAAGTTAAGAGGGCAGAGTTCAAATCCCGTCGCGATTCGATGGTGAATCGTCATTTCTGTTCCTTTTTTCGTTTCTTTCTCTATTACATTTTCCTTTTCTATTGTTACTCCTGTTTAAGGGGAATTATTGCCGTGTCTTTGAAAACAAATGCCCGTGCGACTTTCCTTAATATTTTTATTTACCAAGAATATTTACAAAGCGAACTGTTTTTAATCCTTAAGCCATTTGCAATTATTGTAGCTCTGAATTGAATTCACCTGTGAGCTAGTAAATAATGTATCCCTTCGGGCCTCTCTAGATATCTATACATCGTTTCCACGTACGATAGAGTGAGGGATCACTCGTAAAACTCGCTCAAAAATAAAAACATTTGGGTAGCATAAGCTGCACTGGATAAAGATGCGAAAGTTCAAAGGTTTTTTATTTTAATTTGAACCTGAAAATGAAAACAAATAAAAAAATTTATTAAACGCTATTTGATGCGCAATGTTTGCAAAGCTCTGTAAAGTAAGAAGCCAATTCGCTTCTACAGAAATGACAACTTGAAAAAAGTTCATCAAGAATGACTTTTGTATATATGCTCGTCAGAAGCAATTCCTTGTTTGATCGCTAAGGTATGCTTTCAGATTAAACGATGCAGTTTTTAGATTGCAAGTTTAATTAACGGTAAGGTCATTGTAATAAAATAAGCGAAAACACGGCTTAATATCAATCACACGCTTTAAAACTTTACCATTTATCATGACCTGTTTTCTTATTTAAGCAGGAAAAATGTTTCATTTTTTATACCCCTGGCAAAACTCAAAGCTTTTGCAGTTTTTTCTCTCAATTTGAAAACTATAAATCATATATTATACGCCTTTATTTCTTAAATGAAAAACACATACGAAAAAATGATAGTATAGTTAATAAAGCAGCGAAATGGAAGTGAGAGTGATTTGATAAATTATCCCTTTTATAGGAAGACAACATTCATTAAACGCTTCTTATTGCTTTTAGTGTTAAGATAGGTTTTTCTGTCGATTCAATTCACCCTTCCAGAGGCGGATAAATATTGCCTAACCACGATCTTTTTCTATAGCTAATTCATCGAATTTTGGCGCTCTTGTTATGCCAGTATTCTTCTTGATCTATAGCCAGACAAAATTTAAACTTTAATTAAAACTGTTTTACTTTAAAAGCAAATTTTGTGCAATTTGCTTGCCAATAAAGATTTAGTATAAGAGTGTGCTTGTCACACGAGTAAGTAAAAGTTAACCGCTGCTAACAGAGAGTTTTAGATTTACGTTCACGGCAAACGTGAAACGTCAGTTGACCAGTAAAAAAATATTTTAAATTACTGAAAAAGAATCGCAGTAGTAGAAAAACAAAAGAGTATTTGCGCTTGGTGAGAAGGTTTGTAAAAGGTAAAGTAAAATACAGGAAAACGATGAAAACGTTTGCCGTTTGCGGGGAGGAAAAAAAGTCAATCTAAAACTCTCTAACGCGCCCCTGTCGACATGGGTTTCACGAATTCGCTCACTGCAGTTGTTTGTCCGGCTTTACATCTTCAAGGGTTTTTCCAGACACTTAGGTTTTTCCTTCCTCTGTCAGTAAAAAAAATAGTCAACTTCTCAATACCTATTCGATATTTTGAAAACTTGTGAACTTGGTTCGTTACTAACCTCCTTTGGCTGGTAAAGTTCGATTAGATTATCTGGGGCCTTGAAACGCTAAGGTTTGGACTACGTAAATCGACTTCGAATTAATCTGGAGCTAAGGGCCAATTGATAAACTTGATCACTGTAAATATAGAGGAAACTGCTTGGAATGATGAGATGCGGGGGAAACTAACTATCATACGAAGCAAGGGACAGTTTTTTCGAACCCTGAAACAACCTCTGGTCTGATCTAAGTCAAGGCACGGCTAACTTTACAGATAGAACACTGAAACAACCTCTGGGCTGATCTAAGTCAAGGCACGGCTAACTTTACAGATAGAACACTGAAACAACCTCTAGGCTGATCTAAGTCAGGGCACGGCTAACTCACAGATCAAACCCTGAAACAACTATGGGCTGATCTAAGTCAGGGCATGGCTAACTCACAGATACAACCCTGAAACAACCTCTGGACTGATCTAAGTCAGGGCATGGCTAACTCACAGATACAACCCTGAAACAACCTCTGGACTGATCTAAGTCAGGGCATGGCTAACCCACAGATACAACCCTGAAACAACCTCTGGGCTGATCTAAGTCAGGGCACGGCTAACTCACAGATGGAACCCTAAAACAAGAATATTACTGAGCCCATTACGAGGAGATCCTTGAACATGAAATGAAAAAACGCTGTCGGGCGGATTTGCCGCAGAGGTTTTCACCGGGTTTTTTTTATAAATGACAAGCAAGCAACCGTGGCCCTAATCATAGTCAGCTAATTATAGTTCTTTTCAAATAACACACATTGTCTTCGTATTCAAAATTTCAAAGTCGAAAACTGTTAATGAGAAGGCGGAGCCGACAAAGAATTGTAAAGAAATCATAACGTTGCTTCAGAAACTTGTATTATCTAAATGACAGCTTTTAAACATACATCATAGCACCTTCCATTGAGGCTTTTTCTTGGTGGCCGATGCACTGACGTATTGTCAGCTCAAGTGCATTACAGAACTTCTAGAAATATCCCTATAAGATGTTCTTGAAGCGAGCGGAAAGGCTTTTTTTGCTCTTTTCCATCAGAGTGGAATCTTTACTATTGATTTAACAAACAGGCAGCTGTTCAACTGCAAATGACTTTGAAGAAGCTATCAAATTGTTAAAGGTATTGAAATTGCATTATGGATAATTAACGCTTCCGATGGATAGAACGCTGATAGGCTTAAAATGACATTTATAGTTACAGTTATAATATCATAGCAATAAGGAAAGACATCATTGCCTTGAGCGATACTCGCTGTGTCAAGAAGTCTAGATGAACTCGTACTAAGGTAAAGTTAAGGTAACTCTTTAAAGCCATGAAAAGTTTCTTATTTTCGTTTCCTTTCGTCAACAAATATCTTCGCAAATCTGAGTTTTCTTTATAACTTAATTGGACATTTTCATTTCACACCCAAACGTCGTTAGTCTTTTCGCATTTAGTCAGTACTTGATTCAAAACGATCATTCTTCGCTCATTATCTATTTATCTGGTTCGCTCTTCCAGATCGTTCTTAGGAGTCCATATATGCACGAATGAGAATCGCGCACGTATCGTTTAGTTATCTTCCGCGTTCGAGATTCGCTCACAACAAAACCAAGATAACTAAATCAAATTGGAAACAATTTGCGTAAAAAATATAATATCTTTTTTAAAGTTTCCAAATTTTGTAGATGTTTATTCCCTGCAGAGATTGTCTATACTTTGCTAACTGTAGTAACTCTGTGTCGTTCGACTTCATAAAGCCCCGTTTACACTGGCGATTTTTGCGGCGGTTTTTGCTGCGATTTTTGCTGCAATTTTCGGAAATATGAAATCTTTTGTCTCATCCTTCAAAAGAGACATTCGTCTAGGAAAATCTTGGTATCCTGAAAAAAAACTTTACAAGTAA